CTCTGCACAGCGAATTACGGCGCCATAGACGACTGGGCCACTCGTGCCCCCACCCACCCCCGACCCATAAAGAAAGCTCCAGCATAGTTGTTCTGAAACAACTGGTACAGTATCAGAACGGATGAAAATTGGTGACGGGTTGGGCCTACCATATCGAGTATTGCTCCAGTAGTACATGCTTTTGCCGAGTCTGTACCCACAGCCCAGTACGTCCTCGTGTGCCCTGATTCGAGCGGAAAGGTCTCCTGTTCCTGATTTGCTGACTCCCAGAATGTGATAGTACGGGAGACAGCGTAGTTCACGTTGTCCAGCCTCATCAGAATACCAGCATGGGTTCTTGTAGTTTTGAAGGAACGCAGGCCTTTCCTGTATTAAAACAGCAATACTTACTTTTTAATATTGCGGCTGCTATTTGTAATGAAATAGATACTTAATGTGTTCAAAAGCTTGTGTAGTTTTTAAGGAACGTAGGCCTTTCCTGTATTTAAACAGCAACAGCATCACTTTATATTCACACTTTTTAAAAAAGCTACTTATAAGGTTACCGATATGCCATATATGATCTCAAACACACCCCGATCACGAAAATGAAGATAATTTACTTTTAGTGTTCTTATCGTGAACGAAACGTATGCGTACTTTTCCTTGGCATACTATGCACGTACAATACAAAGAATGTCTTCTGTCTGTTGCGCTTTTTCGCCAATGCATTGCATGTTTGGTGTGTGTCTTCCACCATGAAATATTGTTTCCTTCCACGCTGTCCAGGTCCTTTGATTGCCAATACAAACGTAATGCCACACACAAAAACAGAGTAGACACTGTGTCAGAATCACGATCAGCAGGATGCCTTCTCTCCCCATGGTCCACTGGAAATGAATATCATAATTCTTTTACATGAACATTTGTTAAGGTTATTTGAGGATGTAAAGTACAACTATCAGGCTGATTGACTGACATTTCAAAATATCAATTATATATGTACTATACATAGGCATATGACAAGCCAACTGCATATCAAACCTGTTTATTCCACAATAGCTAAGTATTTGGCAACAATAATTTTGCAAGTTTCCATATTATCCTAAACCATTATATACACATGCACAAAAGTTAAGCGCCGCCCACCATATTTGTGAGCTGTTACTTTTGGCACTTAATGATGACTATTATAACGAGATGTACGATTGTTATAAGCCGTATATGTAAACCTCATGTGATGCAAACGTTAAGCAAAAGCAAGTTTATCTTGTGTTCCAAAAGAATATGTGCAGAATGGAATTTTACCGAAGACCAGAAATTGAAGGATTAGAAAACATTGAAAAACCTTTTTTGTCATGTAACTGTCATGATATCAGCAGACCATATCAGGTGTTACCTAGACACCCTAAGGAGTGCAAAGTCTATTGCAACACAGAAACGTCAGTAACGTGTGTATGATCCACGGACATTGACCACAGCTTCAACCCTATGCCCCATACTCATTACAAGTCGTTGAATGCTTCTCTGAGGCAAACGGATCCATTCTTCATGAAGTGCGGCTTCAAGTCCAGCGAGATTTTGAACTGTGGGATCACGATGTCTGATTTTCCGGCCAAGATCGTCCCAGAGATGCTAAATCGGATTAAGATCCGGACTACAGGCCGGCCAAGGAAGAGTGGCAATAGGTTCTTGACGCAAATAAGCCGAAACTGCCCGAGATCTGTGTGGTCTAGCATTGTCGTCCATGTAAACAGGTCTTGTCTGAAGAGGATGGTTGTCAAAATGAGGGACTACCACTGGACGAAGAACGGCATCTTGGTATGGTTGGCCATTCAGGTTTCCACGAATTGTCACCAGCGGAAGTTTGCAGCCGAAGGAAACACAACCCAAAATCATGACACATGCTAAGCTCTTCTGGATGTCCCTCGGTGCAAAACGAGTGTTACGTTGCCTCCAAACACGTATTCGACCATCAACAGTTCGTAGCAGCATTCGACACTCGTCAGACCAATGGATCCTTCTCCAGTTGGCCAAGTTCAATCGACTACGGGCACGACACCATATCAGACGATTCCGCATGTGCCTCTCAGTCAGTTAAGGACGTTTTACTGGTCTTCTGGCGTTATAACCAGCCGCTCTGAGGCGACGCATTACAGTCATCGTCGAGAGTCTCTGATGGGTAATCCACTGCAGTCTTAAATTTGCTGAAGTGGCAAATGGATTTCGTCTGACTATCCTGAAAAGACGTCTATCCTCTCTGTTAGAGGTCTTTCTTGGCCTACCAGACCTATGCCTGTCATTGACATCATTGGTTTGACCATGTTTGACAATCAAACGAATGATAACACTGTAATGACGACCCATTTGTCTTGCAATGGCCCTGCATGATATGCCAGCATTTTTCATGCCTATGACTTCCTTCCTTCACTATGCTGTCCTTCAGCGTCGTTCACTTTCTCCTCACCATGGGTGATTTTCAACCTCTATTGGAAGGGGAATCTCACACAGGAGCAAAATTCAACCACGTGTCTGAAACTTGAATTTCACTATTTATAGGGTAGGGGAAATGCAGCAACACGTAAAACACGCTTTCCTTGTGGTATCTGGACAAATTTGGGTTCATGAAACTATGGAAGCCTAATTCAGTCATACATCATCATATTTCGTATTTCTGATTCCCACACGTGAAATCAAGAGACTATGAATATGGTGGCGCTTAACTTTTGTGCATGTATATATGTTACAGAATTTAGATGTCTGATTGGAGAGCGCCGTCTTGCAAACCCTAGCCATTTGGTTGACCGGTTTTTACGGGGAGCACAACGCCAAGGTGTGACGTCACCTGCTTGACACAGCATTAATAGCCCTGTTCGTACTTCGAGTTAATCTGCTGTCAGTCTGATGACAGTCACACAGATAGATTAAGTTTTTTCCGAAAATATGTCTTCTAACCTGTGACCTCCGAATACAAAAATCGTTACATTTGTCACTATTGGGGAGTAGGGGATTTTAAGAACTGAACTTCCCGGACAATCCGAAAGTGACTCATGTTATCGCGTTGATTAATCAACACTGCCGGACAAAAGAAAATATACATTTGAAAGTTACAAACCTCATAGTAACGTAACCGAAACACAAACTTCAGATCCAAAACACAAATATGATAGTAGTTTGTTACATGTTAGACACTATCAAACATTTGTGTATACTTTATTTTGCCTGGCAGTTTATGCACAATCAGTCGATAACCGCTTGGTTTGGGTTATATTATTTCAGCATTAATGTTACTGCAAATGTGGCAATGGGTATAATGACCTTACCTGTTTTCTCTTCATTTTCAGGTGCAAGTTGTTTCTGGAAGTATATTAATGACCCTTAATCACGATACGCACTTGTCATCTGCAACACATCACCATGACCAACAAACTGCTGCTCAGACTGAAGGTAAGTATATTTCTCATATTGATCATGACAGATGTTATCGAACACAAAAATGTAGGATCTAATTGGGAAACTATACAACCGACGTCCGAGTCGTATTTCATTAATTTTGTAGTCTCTTATCATGTTACACATCACAAGGACAGCTGCTAGGCGTTCTGAGTGTAATCATTGGACTGGATTTTCACATGACACACGGAACTCGCAAGACAATATGGCTACACCCCGTTCAGTTGATCCTGGTGACTGAAGTCAACATACCCCGACTCCCAGCTGGCGACTGACAGAGAATGGGGGTCAAGCGTTGTCTCTAGCCGGGTCTTCCCTTTTGTTTTAGAATAGAGGCCAGTTTGTATAGTATAGCCTGTGATAAGTTACTGCTAGAAACTGGGAAATCTCATAGTTTGGTCGAACCTCTGTCCTCATAATATATATAGAATGACTGCTTTAACTATGCATACATTCATACTTATTTGCTTCACCAATCAAGATGTCATGATCCCTATGACAGGTCATAGTGGCGGTGTTATTCTCCAAATGGCCTTCATTATCTTTATTTGTATTGTCAGCTTTTACAAAGCAGGTTTATACATGTATGATGTCTTTATCTGTAGTCTGTCTGTCGCCATAAAGTTTTTCGTCATTGTCATCCTCTAAAATTAATGTTTTGTTTTCAACTTCTGAAACTCTGCTCTTGTTTCATACTCACCCAGTAGCACCTCGAAATGTGGGCTGGGTTGTACCCTTTAGGACAAATGATGTGTTCTCACCAAAATACATCGAGTGGTTTCACTCTTAATCTGTAAAATGTATGCATTTTGTTCTGTTAACAAACCATATTTCATACAGTAGTGAAAGCTCAAATCAGTTTAAGCCCTTGTCAACTCTGCACTGTATTCATTACCACTGGAAATGACGTGAACACTGTATATTGATCCTTACCAATACATTCAGACTTCGACTTGCATCTTGGTCCAGTGGATAAAGCGTCAGCCCGGAGAGCAGAGGATCGGTCGTTAGATCCCCAACCGCGTCATACCAATAGATGTTTAAAATATGGTACTTGTTTTACCCTTCCTGGCGCTTTGCTTTAAAGGGGTAATACAGGGGCTGGTAGGCTGTGTCGGAGTGGGCTATCCATGTTAACCAGCGGCATGGTATCTCAGTGGTCCAGCTGTAAAAACCGGCATAAGTCACGACAAGTAGACACACACGTGCATGCACGTCGCTATGTGCAATAATCTTGAACGCGGCCTTAAACCCCATTTCAACTCACCTAAACGCACATTCAGACAGTCACGAGCTTTTTATAAACATTTTCCCTGGTTCAAATAAAAATATGTACATAAAGGTTTGTAAGTGAAACAAGTTCACGTCATAATAACATTTGCTTTTAGGCATATGATATCCATTGATATATGATGATTCACAGGTTAGCTTGTTTGTTTCCAGCGAACCAATATCGTGACAAAGAGATTCCTACAGATCGTGATTTTCTCTACGTGTCTACTCTGTATTTTACTGTGGTATCTGCTATACCATGGCAGACAGATGATTTATGTATCGCCGAAGAAAATATCTATAAACGCTGGAAGTGCATCTCGAGACAGTCATATACCAAACACGAAGTGTATTGGCGCAAAGGCACACCAGCCAGAAGACCTTTTTTGTATGGTACGTGGTTAGTCACGGGTGCCTGAGCGCATACCTGTTTTACAACAAAACTTGTAGCGAGTGAGTGAGCATGGTTTTCGCCGCTTTTAGCAATATTCCATCAATATAACGGCGGGGAACACCAGACATAGGCTTCGCACATTGTAACCATGTGGGACATCGAGCCTGGTACGTGACGAGCGAATGGTTTAACCACAAGGCTAACCAACCGCCCCAATTCTAAAAGTAAACTGAAAGTACATCGTGATTTGTAATTATACTATTCGTGTTCTTAAGCTTTTGAACACATTATATATTCATTTCATTACACATAGCAGCCGCAATATCAAAAAGTAAGTATTGCTGTTTTAATACAGGAAAGGCCTGCGTTCCTTCAAAACTACAAGAACCCATGCTGGTATTCTGATGAGGCTGGACAACGTGAACTACGCTGTCTCCCGTACTATCACATTCTGGGAGTTAGCAAATCAGGAACCATAGACCTTTCCGCTCGAATCAGGGCACACGAGGACGTACTGGGCTGTGGGCAAAGGCTCTGCAAAAACATGTACTACTGGAGCAATGGTCGATATGGTAGGCTCAACCCCTCACCAATTTTTGGGACATTTTTGACAGCGGTCCATCTCTAGATCCTGGCTGATATCTGAACCATTTCTCTCAAACCAGTTCTACAGTTTAATTCGCTGATCCCATGGTCTATTTCAAGTAATTTTCTGACATGATTTGTTTTTGGCGCCGCAGTAGTAGAGACATCTTTCCTCGTCTCCTCATCCGCCACCGAGTGCCATCAAAGACAGTGCCTTATGCTTGCGGGTCTTTGATAAGCGGTGGCAAGGATACCTAACTGATATTCTCGAGCAGATAAGTTAAGGTCTATGCAAGTATTACTTTGATGTCTAACATTTCGTCCACAACATCTGTTACTGAGAGTGTGTGAGTGAGTAAGTGAATTTAGTTTTACGCCGCTTATAGCACTATTCCGGGGGACATTAAAAACGGGCTTCACACATTGTACCCATATCGGGAATCGAACCCGGGTCTTCGGCGTGAAGAGCCAATGCTTTAACCACTAGGCTCGCCTCTTACTACCAGGGCCCACTTGCACAAAGCGATCTTAGCCCTAAGATGATCGTAACTCCCATACTTTGACATAAGCTTACAATAGTCGTCGCACGAAGATCGCTTTGTGCAAGTGGGCCCAGCAATATAAAATCTTAATAAGCGCATAATATCGATGTTTATGAAAACACAGGTTTCAGATATAATATGCTGCCTGTGACGAAATGGAACTTCAGCAAATATGTTCAAGGACTTCCTGCATACCTGATTGAAGAGAGCGTTTCCTCAGACAACTTTCACAATAAGATAACAGGTTAGTTGATCAAATTAATATGTTTCTTTAAAAAGAGAATCCCCCCCGAGTGTCTTTTGATATGAAATATATCAACACGAGTTGATAAAAGTGGAAAAAGTCCGAGGCTTTCCGAGGATTTTTGCCACTTTTATCAACGAGTGTTGATATATTTTATATCAAAAGACACGAGGGTGAGATTTTATTTATCATCCAACATCATTCTTTCAACTTTTTCAATTTGTAGACAGTAATTAGCAGTGTCTTCAGTGTAAAAAGTACTGCAAACAGCTTCAGTAGCAGAGCCATTAGTGATGTCATTTGATTGTGACGTCATGGTAATAAGTGACGTCACAATGGTCTGCAAAGCATTGTGATGTAATTTCATTGCAGCGATATCTACAGTGTAGATATCGTTTGATCTAATCCAAGCGATATCTCCTGTGGGGGCCTGTTTTGGATGATAAGAGAGTGGGGTCGATTCCGTGGTCTTGTGGATCATCATAGCAGAGCATCTACCCGGAGAACGGAAGATCGGTGTTTCAATTCACTCGCCACGCCATACCAAATGACGTTAAATGTACTTGTTGTTAACCTGCCTGACGCTCGGCATTAAGGGCATAAAACGAGGACTGGTCGGCTCGGAGTCAGTATACTGTTTCTCAGTTGGGTGTCCATGTTCAACTACTGCATGATATATATTTCATCAGTGGACTCGCACTGCTAAGTGTGGACTGGAACAGACGTCGTCATGGAAGTGCAATTATCCTGATCGCAACGTTACACCCCAGTTCACGAAAGTGGTATGCTTCCTTTATTTTTGAGGAAATTGATGTACACTGGTCATGAAGGACATATGGTAAGGATACCAACACTTCAAAAGGTTGGTGGCAGCAATTATTTGAAGCACGCATTCACTGTCAAATTTCCACGCATCCCTTGCATTATGGACGATTTGACTGATCATATATATGTCAGTAGTTCATGATATTTATGGAATAAATTGTACGTATCCTGTGTCAGTTGTCTCTAAATGGGGGGCACGGGTGGCCCAGTCGTCTAAGGCGCCGCGATTCGCTGTGCAGAGTTGCGTCCCTTGGGCACGCCAGAAACCTATGGTTGTGGGTTCGAATCCCGGTTCGCCCCAATTATGTTTCTAGGAAATTGGAGTAAGTAGTGGATGTTTCCGGGCTAGGGCTTGGTTTCTAGGGCTAATATTGTTTTTTATTAAGTTTTCGATTAGAGGGTTTGATTGGGACGCGGAAAGAAAGAAAATAATAAAATATAAATACTGGAACAAACGTGCTGCAAAGTGTAAGACAACGTCACTGTACTGTGAGAAGAGCTGCTGCCCTCCCTCTAGTACCTCGTGACAAAGTGGATGATGTGTCGCTTGATGCCATTGCTGACTCTCCTGCTGGCCCTAAAGTGACTGCCTTCATGGACTACGTGACAACCAGTTGGGTTCAAGGAGGTAGTGAAGCTATTTCAGCGAGAGCAGTCACTCAAAGAGGTGACAGTCCTGAGACTCTCTCACCAGTGGTCAGAACCTTCACGAAGAAAGAAGTACAAGGCAATCGATGCACGTATTGCGTCCCTCAAGATCCAGCTCCTGAACCAACACCTGAGTGAGATGGAATATGCTGACCACGTGGGCGACCTCCTTCATCTGCAGTAATGACATGAAATCCATTATGCTATTCATATTCATCAATGTAAAGTTTTGATGAATATGTTATCCTTGTTGAATAAAACATGAGAAAACAAGACTTGTTTTGTTATATACGGTAACCTGTTAGAATCACAAAGCATGTTTTGACAGCATACCCGCGAGAGCCACATTATACAATCACGCAACCATAACCATTGCCGCGAGAGCCACATCAATTTGGGCTATCTATTTTCGAAATGTGGCTTTGCCGGCCTGTAACCGTTATTTTCCTTTGGATATGGTGAAATTTGGAATAGACAATCAGTTTCTTGTATTCATTCATTTATATCCGCTTTTAGAATAAGATTGATATTGATAAACAGTGTCTCTTTGAACCTTTTGACAAATTATCTTCATTATATTTGGATAAAACAATTAAACTATCAAATGAATATGAAAATGATTTAAGTGTTGTGAATATTGCTGCATTTAGGATTACTCGATCTCTCACAGTTTCAAACGTCGAGCAGTGATCTTATGGTATCACAGGGTAGAAAGTTAAGTATTCCAATATGTGAAAGACTTTGTCCATTTTGTATGATTCCAAATGTAGAAACAGAAAACCATCATGTTTGTTTAGTTTGTCCGTTTTATGACGATCTTAGATTAAAACTTTCTGCCAAGTTGTTATTATACATCTCCATCAGAGCATAAATGTAAAGTTTTATTTACCACCAGTAATGCTTTCACAATAAATAATCTTGCCAAGTTTACATTCTTCGCTCTTAAAATGAGGAGCAAGCAGTTGTCCATTATATAAACTATTAATTCTACCATCATATGTTTATGGTCTCAGATACACTTGTACTGATTAGTATTGATATTACTACATGCACTATTTTGATAAAAGTATGTCCGTTGCATGATGAACTCAGAAAACAGTTCATTGATAAATATTACATCTGTTATCCTAGTTTACAGAAGTTTGTTTCGTTAGTGTCTGGTAACAATGTTGTAATAACGACAACAACTGTCAATTGCAATGCACATGTTGCATGCTATGAACCTTAAAAGTCCAGAATATGTTACCTTTTAAAAACTGTCATACACCTATTACTGTATGACATGTACCAGAGGTCTATGGCCTCTCAGTATCATGAATAAACACTACTTGGCGTTGGTCAAATCTTCTAATTATGTAGACATCTTCTAATAACGTGATCACAGTGTCACTCAAGTGACGAAGAGATCTCGGTTCACTCAGTTCACAGAGTCACTGCGACTGAAATGGAGGATCTGTCACAGCAGCAAGGCCATGTTTAAGAAGGCACTGACTCAGAACAAATTGACGAATGTGAAGACTGATCATCATTAGATGAGAAGAAATCGCGCCTCGGGACTTGATCCTCTCAATGTGTTGTGCTTAGGTTGTGCTTAGGTTGTGCTTTACTGTGCTCCAACTGGCTGACAATTGGAACATGAATGGCACGTGAATCAATGACAAACGAAGCAACGTTACCACCTCTATCGAACGATAACTCCGGCAGACTGCGGCCGGCTACTGTAGGAGATATCTCGTGTTGTATCCGAAATGACTTGTGAATGGCTTATAATTGTATTTGACATCATGATTAAGGATTAACTTGATCATGCATGACTTTTGATGAATATTTTTCTTTTACATTGAATAATTAATTTTACTTGCATTATTTACCCTGAAAGCCTTCGAGTGTTGAGATTATGTTATTCATTTTGTCATTACTTCTGCGGAAGTTATTATTTTGAGATGTATTCGTCACCTGTATCGAAACCTTCCAATTACATCTTCTTTGATTGTCTTTAGTCATTTTTGTCTCTCTGGTCGACACACCGAAAGATTGACGTTGTACATATCGCAAACTGGAGTTTTCTTTCAATTATGTTTTCAATGATTGTGGTGTGTTGTTTCCCCGGTCAAGATTTAAATGTGAACACGTGTCGGATTTTGATTGTGTAGAAATTGTTGGAAGGTTATTTCTGATAGCTTTGCCAAACAAGTTTCAAGTAAATTCAATAATGATTAATTTTTTTATTTTTTTTATATTTTGTTTTAGTTTACATTATTTTTCCCGGTCGACAGACCTACCTTAAAAGTAGGTAATTTTTTCTTGGAAATAATAGTTGAGTTCATATATTAATAAAATCATGTTACAGTATGTTCCCAGTCTCTTTCTCCTCTTTCTCTCGCTATGATACTGACTTTGGTTTTGTTTATTTGTATTCAACAGTGTGTTTTGTGCAATACAACAACATTTCTGAGATATGGTTCGGATAATAGTGTGCAGAATATAACGTTTAATCTCCTCTTCTGGCGGGAACACCCCGTGACTCTGTATTAGTTGAATATTTGATTATTTTTGATGGGTATCGACAGAGTATCGAGATGTTCAACAGCAAAAAAATTAATGATATGAAGGGTAAACTTAAATACAATCTATCATATTATATTATGCTTCATGTTTAACGTGTTTCAGGAGACGGAACTCCGACAGATTTCTATAGGTTCTACAGATGGGAAGACATCCCTCAAAATGCAGGCTTGACCGAACCTGTGGTTGTCACACCACATTTAATGAAGCATGTGTATAAAGATCCCAAGTTCATAATCATATTTAGGAATCCCACAGACAGGTAAACAACTTACCATCCGTACTACTGAACCTGGTGTTTTGTTGTTGTGTTATTTGTTTCCACATGGCCTTTGCATACTGTTTCTTTTTCAAAAAGTTCTGACTTACAACATTCATTTGCTTTCCATTTTTTTATGGTATAAATTTGGAGGAAACTTCCACCCGTGACCAAAGAAATATATGATGCACTTCCTTATTTTCACTTGTATTATACTTGAGTTTATACCTACAAGGCTACATAAATAGTCGTTATTATACCGAAATATGTGATTAGTGTTGCAATGTACGCTACTTTACAACATTGTCGCAGCAACGGTTGGCATTGTGGTTTGTTTGTTTGTTGTTTAAAGCCACACTCAGCAATATTCCAGCTATATGAGGGCGCTGGATGGCGTTGTAAGATATAATATAAAGGAAGTGATTTCACAAAAGTGTACCGTTTAATGGCATGGGCTACAGTTAAATGAAAGAAGACGTCAAATTTGATATTGCAGGTTGTCTCAAAGTGGACATCAAATTAATTAATCGGGTTTTTTTTAATATTAATGACGTCGAATACTTCCTGATCCTAAAATTCACCATTGTATCTTTTCATGTTCAGTATATCAACACTCATCGCCCAACATGCGTTGATATAATGGATGTGAAAAGAATCTGAGAAAAATTGTTTCTTGGGTTTCGATCTCTGAAATGTTAATCTGTTTTTATTTCCATTTTCTGTGGTATCTATAACTTGTCAGAATTAAGTCCCTAAAAGTCAATTAGATGTCCGACATTGGAAATTAGGAATCATAGCATTTGATAACTCAATGACACGTTCGATATGAGTATGATGCAGAATACACATATAGTCGAACCCCATTGTGTCAACCTGAGATGTGTAGACATTTCTCGAACTCAATAAGTTCCAAGAGACAAATATTGGTTAAAACGTTAAACTCAATCTATTCTTAAACACAATATAGCACAAACTATTATAATTAAAATGCATATAAATGCATAAATGTAAATATTGACAAACGCTTCTGGTTTTATTTCTTATTATATGAATGTATGATCAAATTACAGATTATACTCGGATTACATATTCCTGAACCAAGGCGATTCCCCTCAGTCCTTTCATAAACATGTGCTACAAGCTATTCAGATCGAGGAAGAATGTATGAGGAACAACACAATGAGGCGGTGTCTATACAGCTTGGATGTTTCCAAACAACTGCCGGTAAGAAGCTAACTGTTGGCCCTCGGTCTGTCAAGGTTCAACTCCAATGAACTCACACAAAGTGATTGGCAGTTCGTATGATTTTTATGTCAAACTTTATCACTAATTGCCGGTAAGAAGCTAACTGTCAAGCAACTGTTATAAATATTCCATTCAAAGATGTTTCCATTTTATTCATACATACATGGGGGCACAGGTGGCTCAGTGGTGTAAGGGGCATTTCCCTTGGGCACACCGGAAACCTATGATTGAAGCTTCGCATCCTCTCGATTATGTTTCTAAGTTTGTAGGCCCCATGTCAGTGCTCATTGGTTGGTTGGTTTGTTGTTTAACGCCGCACTCCGCAATATTCCAGCTATATGACGGCGGTCTGTAAATAATCGAGTCTGGACCAGACAATCCAGTGATTGATATCATGAGCATCGATCCACGCAATTGGGATCGATGACATGCTTCAACCAAGTCAGCGAGCCTGACCACCCGATCCCGTTAGTCGCCTTTTACGACAAGCATAGTCACCTTTTACGGCAAGCATGGGTTGCTGAAGACCTATTCTACCCCGGAAAAAGTGTATGATTGAACTTGTTTATTGTATGGCATCCTTCGTCTTCATGTTTGATTCGTGCTAAAATCGGCGAAAAAGCAGTTTCGGTCATTGATGAATTCAATTCTCCAAACCCAACCCTCAATTCATGATTGATTTAATGCTCCGATACCCTCATTGTGTGTACGGACCAGCCTGTGGAAAGCGGAAGGTCGGTGGTTCGATTCCCTGTCGGTTCCGAGTTCATATACTATTCTTCTGAGTGAGGGATTCATTTAAAACTGCGGCATGGTATCTCAGTTGGTTGGCACAAAAGACAGTATTAGTCTGACTAAAATCAGCAGCCACATACTCGTGCATGCACGTTGCATAAGTGTAATATTATTGAACGCGACGTTTGAAACGCCATTTCACCTCATCTCACCTCCTCCGTGTGTGTGTGTGTGTGTGTGTGTGTGTGTGTGTGTGTGTGTGTGTGTGTGTGCTGTAAAAACATAATCACATGTTACTGGAAGTGAGACCACTTTCCCTATTGACACTTTTACCTGGCATTTGAAGATCACCGACTTCTGTCATGCAAACCCGCCTTCAATAAAACCATATACAGTAAACTACGGTTATAACGAACTAATTAGGGCTCCCTGCCATCCTGGCAAGAGCCCTATTGTAATTGTTCGATTTATTATTATTATTATTATTTATTATTATTATTATTATTAGGGCTCCCTGCCATCCTGGCAAGAGCCCTATTGTAATTGTTCGATTTATTATTATTATTATTATTTATTATTATTATTATTATTATTATTATTATTATTCCGCCGATTTTTGTTCCAATCCTACCTCCAAAACTACTGCTCAGAATCTCTTCAAAATTTCCACAAAGATAGCTTAGGTCCTGAAGCAGATACCACAAAAATCCCAAGACTCTAGACTCAAAGACTAAGGGCAGATAACTCAAAACAACTTTAAAAATCGCGATTTCAACAGCTAATATCTCCGCCACGAAAGCTCCAAAGACTTCCAAAATTCTTGAACTGGTGCGCAATCAGATGGCCAACAAATTCTCTACACATCCAATGTAGCGAAATTGCTTCGTTTGGCCTCCAGATCGGATTAAGTGTTTTTGCACTGTTTTTTAGCAGATATCTCAGTACTTGACTCCCAAAATCTCCTCAGCTCAAACTACCAGCTCGAAAGCTTCCAAACTCTCCAGACTTTGGCTCCAAGTACCATACTAACAACTTCAAAGAAAAAATTCTGAGATATGTCTTCAATGGCCGCCATATTGACTGCAACTTCCGGCTGAAAGTTATTTTCAAACTTTTTATAGGACATCTTTAGCAAGCTCTAGCATTGGAAACTTATCAGGTAAGGCACTTGAACAACTACTGATGAGTCTTGCTTTGGTTGCTGAACAAGATCTATTCTTGCTCTTATGTCAAAAGTCACGTGATGTGGCGGCCATATTGGATTTAGCTAGCCTCTCATATTTTTACTTTGTAAACTACGTAGCTGCTAAAGTTCTTGATAGAAAGTGCTACAAATTACCACAATGCACCAGCATCAGACGCTGAACATTTCCTGTTCTTAGCTGTTTGTCAAAAGTTGCGTCATTTAGCGTCCATATTGGATTAAAGACCGTGAAAATGCCAAAAGTGATAAAAACGGCACAAAACAGCATATATCTCCGCCAAAATTGCTCCAATAGCTACCATATTTTGCATGTGACACCGTCATGAGATAGCGATCATTTTCGATCGGGCCGTCAAAATGGATATTTCCAGCCGTTTGGCCGCCATCTTGGATTTAAGTTTTTCTTCGTCAGGTTGCCATGGAAACCAAACTTGACAACGAAATGAATTGATATTCCCAGCACTATTAGATACAGACCATGGGAAGATGTCTGCAAAGTTTCAGCTTTGTAAGTTAGATAGTACGTGAGAAAATGACAAAACAGAGTTTTGGTGGACAGACGCGCGGACGGACGGCGGACATGCATATCATCAAAATTTACCTATACATGTGCTAGAACTGGTCGGGGTAATGCATAATTACCAACCACTTCCACCATACATGCAATAACAGTCGCGTGAGAGCTCGCCAAAAAAAGTACATTTTCGTTTTACGGACCACCTAAATGACCTTGACCCCGTGACCTTGGTGACCTTGAATTTTTTTAAATGGTTTTAGTCCAGCTACCCGATCCCAGGGTCAAAAGTGCCAAAATCGCAAAAATAAGGATTTCTTATTAGGGCTCCCTGCCATCCTGGCAAGAGCCCTATTGTAATTGTTCGATTTATTATTATTATTATTATTTATTATTATTATTATTATTATTATTATTATTATTCCGCCGATTTTTGTTCCAATCCTACCTCCAAAACTACTGCTCAGAATCTCTTCAAAATTTCCACAAAGATAGCTTAGGTCCTGAAGCAGATACCACAAAAATCCCAAGACTCTAGACTCAAAGACTAAGGGCAGATAACTCAAAACAACTTTAAAAATCGCGATTTCAACAGCTAATATCTCCGCCACGAAAGCTCCAAAGACTTCCAAAATTCTTGAACTGGTGCGCAATCAGATGGCCAACAAATTCTCTACACATCCAATGTAGCGAAATTGCTTCGTTTGGCCTCCAGATCGGATTAAGTGTTTTTGCACTGTTTTTTAGCAGATATCTCAGTACTTGACTCCCAAAATCTCCTCAGCTCAAACTACCAGCTCGAAAGCTTCCAAACTCTCCAGACTTTGGCTCCAAGTACCATACTAACAACTTCAAAGAAAAAATTCTGAGATATGTCTTCAATGGCCGCCATATTGACTGCAACTTCCGGCTGAAAGTTATTTTCAAACTTTTTATAGGACATCTTTAGCAAGCTCTAGCATTGGAAACTTATCAGGTAAGGCACTTGAACAACTACTGATGAGTCTTGCTTTGGTTGCTGAACAAGATCTATTCTTGCTCTTATGTCAAAAGTCACGTGATGTGGCGGCCATATTGGATTTAGCTAGCCTCTCATATTTTTACTTTGTAAACTACGTAGCTGCTAAAGTTCTTGATAGAAAGTGCTACAAATTACCACAATGCACCAGCATCAGACGCTGAACATTTCCTGTTCTTAGCTGTTTGTCAAAAGTTGCGTCATTTAGCGTCCATATTGGATTAAAGACCGTGAAAATGCCAAAAGTGATAAAAACGGCACAAAACAGCATATATCTCCGCCAAAATTGCTCCAATAGCTACCATATTTTGCATGTGACACCGTCATGAGATAGCGATCATTTTCGATCGGGCCGTCAAAATGGATATTTCCAGCCGTTTGGCCGCCATCTTGGATTTAAGTTTTTCTTCGTCAGGTTGCCATGGAAACCAAACTTGACAACGAAATGAATTGATATTCCCAGCACTATTAGATACAGACCATGGGAAGATGTCTGCAAAGTTTCAGCTTTGTAAGTTAGATAGTACGTGAGAAAATGACAAAACAGAGTTTTGGTGGACAGACGCGCGGACGGACGGCGGACATGCATATCATCAAAATTTACCTATACATGTGCTAGAACTGGTCGGGGTAATGCATAATTACCAACCACTTCCACCATACATGCAATAACAGTCGCGTGAGAGCTCGCCAAAAAAAGTACATTTTCGTTTTACGGACCACCTAAATGACCTTGACCCCGTGACCTTGGTGACCTTGAATTTTTTTAAATGGTTTTAGTCCAGCTACCCGATCCCAGGGTCAAAAGTGCCAAAATCGCAAAAATAAGGATTTCTTATTAGGGCTCCCTGCCATCCTGGCAAGAGCCCTATTGTAATTGTTCGATTTATTATTATTATTATTATTTATTATTATTATTATTATTATTATTATTATTATTCCGCCGATTTTTGTTCCAATCCTACCTCCAAAACTACTGCTCAGAATCTCTTCAAAATTTCCACAAAGATAGCTTAGGTCCTGAAGCAGATACCACAAAAATCCCAAGACTCTAGACTCAAAGACTAAGGGCAGATAACTCAAAACAACTTTAAAAATCGCGATTTCAACAGCTAATATCTCCGCCACGAAAGCTCCAAAGACTTCCAAAATTCTTGAACTGGTGCGCAATCAGATGGCCAACAAATTCTCTACACATCCAATGTAGCGAAATTGCTTCGTTTGGCCTCCAGATCGGATTAAGTGTTTTTGCACTGTTTTTTAGCAGATATCTCAGTACTTGACTCCCAAAATCTCCTCAGCTCAAACTACCAGCTCGAAAGCTTCCAAACTCTCCAGACTTTGGCTCCAAGTACCATACTAACAACTTCAAAGAAAAAATTCTGAGATATGTCTTCAATGGCCGCCATATTGACTGCAACTTCCGGCTGAAAGTTATTTTCAAACTTTTTATAGGACATCTTTAGCAAGCTCTAGCATTGGAAACTTATCAGGTAAGGCACTTGAAC